GTGGGATAAAATATCGTCTTTTCTTCTTCTTCTTCTTCTTCTTCTTCTTCTTCTTCTTCTTCTTCTTCTTCTTCTTCTTCTTCTTCTTCTTCTTCTTCTTCTTTCTCTTTTCTTCTTCTTCTTCTTCTTCTTCTTCTTCTTCTTCTTCTTCTTCTTCTTCTTCTTCTTCTTCTTCTTCTTCTTCTTATTTGTTTCTCTTCTTCTTTTTCTTCTTCTTCTTCTTCATCTTACTCCTCCTCCTTCTCCAGAGATCCAATTCTTTGATTTACATCGACAAAGGATTCTTGTGATAAAAGTTACCCTTTTTGAAGGCCTTTTATATTTCATACAATTATGAATATAGCGTTGACTGATTGGGCAAGTATTCTCTTCTTAATTGGCTGTAACGGACAGCCTTTCCAGGACATCTTCTGTAGTTGGTGCGCACAACCCACACGGGCATAGTTGTAAACTGCACAGAGGAGCATGTGCTTTGTGCTTGTTAAGTTTGTAATGTCCTATCCGGAGGCGTAGAATGTTTATGAATGCCAAGAATATGGTAGTTATTATTGAACTGGTTATGTTCCCTTCTGAAAAGACTGGATGGCCCTTTTTTCTCAAAGTTTGTTGTTAAATGTCTTTCTTTTCAAAATCCCCCTCCCTCTCCCACCCCCTTTTGTTGTTGTTGTTGCAAGTTTATCCAGTTTCCTTGACTGATACATAACAGTAGGACGACACCCACTGGAGTAATGTGAGCATACGTGAACGGAAAGCAGAGGATATTTTCTACAGCTAGTGGAGCTGGTATCAAAGTATTATCTTTGGCGCCATTTTTCGGCTAACAAACAGCATAAGTTGTAATCAGTTTGGCGCGTTGTGGACATTGATTGTCGTTGCGTTGTTCTAGATAGATTTTCCCAAAAAAGTGTAAATGTTAGTAACAGTGGTGTCAAGAAGCTTAAGCTATTTTCGAACGAAGAAGAGAATAATAACTAAATATAAGAAGTGAATTTATGTGTCTGATCTCGAAATGCAGGACGATATGGCTAAGTCTTAAATCTGAACTATCTTTAGGGGGAAAAAAACACCGTTGCTCTAAAGACGTATCAAGATAGCAACAGAGAAACTGCTAAATACTAATCTTGGCTCACAGTATGTGTTAATGCTGACAGATGCTAAATCAGCACTTGAAGCACTCCAGTCTAGGAAACTACAAGAATTGCAAACACTGCTGACACAACTCAGCCTTCAGCGAAGAGTCGTAATACAGTGGATACCGTCTCATTGTGGAGTGCCTGGAAATGAGAAAGCTGATCAACTGGCAGGGGGAGGTGCGACAAAAGAGCAGCCGGGTGTATCAGTCACATACCACCAAAAGAAAAGAATCATTAAATCGATCAGGAAACCACCAGCCCCAGCTCAAGACGACTATTTTATTATGGAAAGACCAGAACAAGTCATTATCCTCCGCCTCAGAACAGGGCACAACCGATTACGTAACCACATGTACACAAAATTCAAGATAGGTGTATCAGCCATGTGCACCTGTGGAAATGTGCCCCAGACAGCAGAGCATGTACTCCAGGACTGTACCGAATTTGACACATTAAGGCAAACCTTTTGGCCAGAAAGAAGAACAGTGGAACGTAAACTCTATGGACCACTGAATTAACTAACAACGACAGTGAAATCTATACAAGAGACAAAACTACTGATATAGACAACTTATTTCAGGCTATGCTAACGATGCAAGGGTCTCAAGTATTAGAAGAAGTAGAAAAAATATTATTTCCCACCACTTCTCAGATTACAAACAAGAGAAAATATTCCAGAAGTACATTCAAAGTCGCCCGTGTGTCATTGAGGCCCTCATGGGAAGCAAAGAATAGTGACACTGCACCTTACCAGGCATGTCGTAAGAGGCGACTAAGGGTAGGGTTGGGCTTGAGGTTGGCTACCTCATCCTGTAAAAACCACAGCCACAAAAACCAACCAACTATGGATAAGTCAAAAAGAGAAGCAAATAAAATCCAGCCAACCAAGATGAGGGAAGGCTCTTCAAATAGAAGAAGTATGACACGGTGTGGAGAAATCCGTAAGGAGTCCGGATTGTTGGAACCCACAGGGGCATAGGAATAAAGGAAGGCCAAAAAACACATGGAGAAGAAAGCTGGAGAACAAGGTTAGAAAGGTTGGGAGGACATGGGGAGAGCTCCATGCAATGGCGAAGGATAGAACATCTTGGCGTGAGTTGGTTGAGGGCCTATGCTCCATTGGGGGATAGAAAGGCAGAAGAAGAAGACATTCAAAGTCGCCTGACGTTATTATGGAATGGCACTTTCTTTCGAAGGAGTAGTCTTTCTTCTCCTCTACCATCCACATGTGCCAGTAACTATTAGCCATATAAGTAAATTTGTACTGTATATTTTATGTTATGGATTTTTATATCAAATAAATCAATTTACACACAAAACAAAACAAAAACAAAAAACAAGGAAAAACAAATCGTTGCTGGTGCAGGCAAACGGGTTAACTGGATCTGCATTGATTTCAATAAGATTAAATCGCACATGACTGACTGACTGAGTGTGAGGTAGGTAGGTTGTTGTACCCCACCAGGACATCGCACAAGCGATAAACACCCGGTGACACAAAGTGCCACCATGCGGATGAGGATTACCCGTGGAGAGGTCCCAGAAACCCCCTTCAGCCGTTAGGCCGTACTTATAAGTAAAGTAAAAGTAAAGATCCCTTTCCACGCCTTTAGGCGCATCGGGCATATGAGAAGAGCACCCATATTTTTACAGACCATTCGGCAGTAGGTGGGTAATGTGGTCAGCATTACGCCGGCCGTCTTTACTTCCCCAGGACATGCATCCTGGTACCCATTTTAGGCTGGGTCGACCTGCGACGCCCCATACCACCATAAAAATCCACGCAGCCAGCTGTGGGTTTCGATCGCGGTCAAATCGTTCTAACCTTAGCCATTACATGGAGCTCTATCCGTGTCCTCCCCATCTTTCTAACTTCATTCTCCAGCTCTCTTCTCCGTGTGTTTTTTATCTTCCTTTATTTCTATGTCCATGTGGCTTCCAATGCAAAGACATTCTAGTTATGCTGTTCTCCTGTTTTCTCAGTGTGTGCCCTATCCAACGCCAGCGTCTTTTCCTCACCTCTTTGTTCACTGGATCCTGTTTAGTTCTCTCCCAAAGCTCTACATTAGTTATTCTATCATTCCATATAAATCCCTCTATTCTGCGTAGGCACCAGTTAATGAATGTCTGTAGTTTATTAGTAATTGCCTTGGTTGTTCTCCATATCTCCGAACCATTCAAAAGTACTAATTTGACATTAGAATTAAAAAATTGTAGTTCAATATTCCTTTTAATTTCCTTTGACCTCCACAAATTCCATAGTGCCATGAAAGCTCCTCTTGCCTTCTGTATTCTTATTTTAATATCTCTATCAGTTCCTCCATCTTTATCTACATTACTTCCCAAATAGGTGTACGACTCCATGTCTTAGAGTGGCGTACCATTAAAAGAAACCACATTACTATTTGCCTGATTTTTTTCTCATTATTTTTGTCTTTCCTTTATGGATTTTCAGACCAAGCTGCTGTGATCTCGCATCAAGTATATTTAATTTATCTCCTGGGTGCAAGTCTCAGAAACATCGTTCAACCCGTAGGTTATATTTAGGGCTCATAAAGACTGCCGAGGTGAAGCTTTAAAATAACAAAAAATTGCGTCCCATTTTGGGGCGGATTGATAATGGCACATTATTCGGCTCACCGAAAATAAACCCTGGTCTGAGAACAAGGGTCGTAACTTTTGAATGTAAAATAAAACTTTGTTCAATGTTAAGTCCCCTAGGTAAATTGCAATACAATGTTTTACGCATGAGTGAGTGACTGACTTTCTACTACCCCCCCCCCCCCCCCCCCCTTTAGGACATCACACAAGCGATAAACACCCGATGACACAAAGTGCCACCACGTGGATGAGGATCGCCGTGTAGAGGTCCCAGAAACCGCGTTCAGACAATTGGTCATATTTATGGCCTGCCTGTATTGCGGCCCCTGGTAAAAGCCAGGGTGAGGCTTCAAATAACAAAAAATTTCATCCTAAAAAGGACGAAACTGGATTGCAATAATGAGTGAGTGACGTTGAATCCCAGCATAACCGAACGACGAACGATAAATACTCGATGACACAAAGTGTCACTATTCGGATGAGAATCACCCAGTCGCACGTCCCAAAACCCCGTTCAGCCGAAGGCGGCATTAGGGGAATTTAGACTGCCCGCCTGGATCACATACGGACAAGTCCTGCGTACAGGTCTATGGCAAGAGACCGTGCCTAAGTAGGACTTAGAGGCGAAACGTAGGCGGCTATTGGCCAGAGCGTCTTTGAGTGACGGTCATATCTGTAGACCACAAGGAAAGATGCCTTAGGAGAATGTGTTTGTGAAGATGGAAGGTTAATGAACACTCGGCTCTCATTCGGAAGATCCAGGTTCGAAACCTCGGTAAGGATGGAGTGAGTGACGTTAAACCGCAAAAAGGACCGAAAGATGCCACCACTCAAATGAGAATCCCCCTGGCAAAAGTCCAAGCAACCCCGTTCACCCGTTAGTTTATTTTAGGACTCCCGACAACAGCCGAGGTGAGACTTTAAAACAAAACAAAATATACGTCTCTCTTATTGGGGTGGTGTTGGATCTAAGCCAGTAAGGGTGGATTTTTGTTTTCCTGTCGGGGCACAGACACAGACATAAAATTGTACCTGAATAGTTTGTGATCACTGCACTAGCCATGCATCCCTACATCCTCAGGATAAGACCTCTGGTCTTACGCCGCCCTAAAAATTGTATAGCTCTAAACAAAGATAGTAAATTTTAGAAAAAAAGAGACGATACAAAATTGTAAGAAAGTAAAAAGTGATAAATACAGATAGTGAAGACAGTACTTATCACTTGTTATGCCCCTTACATCACGTGATCAGGAACAATCTGCAGCCATGATGGTGGGTGGACACTAGGTTTTCTTGTTCTTATCCTTGGTTTTGTTGTTGTTATTTCATGGATTACCTGTAATAATACATTTTCATCCCTTTTTATGTTTTCAGGATGGAATTGATGACAGTCCTGATCTCTTGGCGGAGGATCAGGATAATAAAGTAAGCAGTGCTAACAGTGTCTGTGTTGTTTAGAATCCTGTTTAGTTAGTTTCGAGTCATCAAGTGTCAGTCAGTGTCCTCACATAAATAATGACTGATTCACAGCCTTTCTCACTGTCCAGTAAATTAAAAAGAATGATTTTCAAGTTTAAAGAGACAACGACGCACATTTTTTTTATAGCGTTAGTGTTTAAAACTGGTTGGTCACACCTAAAGCTGTACTGTGTACAACAACTACTAATCTCACTTCTGCGTCTACTGCTACTCACTGCAGTATAATGTGTAATGTCCGCTTAGTTGTTTTTAAGTTTTATTCATTTATTTTTTACGGATTTTAATAACATAACTATGCTGCTACTAGTGGGTGTAGCATCATAGGACTATGAAAGCTGGTAGTAGGGAATTGAAAAGTGGGCTCTCCTGTCAACTACGGCCGGTAGACTACAGTAGATGGCTGGTTAGTCGGAGTTCTGTTCCTTGGCTACAGTGACATTATGGAGTGGACAAGGCACGAATCACAACACAAAGTGATGCTACTGAAGCGCAAGATTCGGCACTAGCCGGGCGCTATTGCCTTCACATTTAGCAGAATGTGAATGGCGCCACTGCCACAAGCAGCACATTGTCGGCCATTATTTGGAACTCCTGTCTGACAATTATCACATATAGCGGCCGTCATTATGGGTAAGTACTCGACGTTACATGTGTTACCCTAACCCAAACCCTAACTCTAACCCAAACCGACACCCTAACCCAAACCATAACCGTATGATTATAGCAGGGCAGTGCACGCTGTCTATCGCCAACACACAGTAATTGTGTCAATTGTTTCGTTCCATCCTTTTCCACTCCGTAATTGCACTGTAGCCAAGGGACAGAACTCCGACTAACCGGCCGTGTACTGTTGTCTACCGGGCGTAGTTTACAGGAGAGCCGAAAAGTGATAATATTTGAAATTTCACAAGTGGGCTTTTTTCTGAATAATGGTCGTAAATTATCTACGCAGAAAATGAACCCTAACAGAGCCTCATTACATCATGCCCTACAAAGATTTAAAAGTTGTAACTTGGAAAATTTAAGGAACGAAAAGTATGAGGAAAAGGGGGAAGTCTACTACTTACTGATAATTAAATCCTTTAAATGTGAAAATTGTGGCACAGAAGTTGCAAATAGTGCCCGAATGTCTGCTCTTTCTGGATGTGCCGCGATTGGAACTCCGCCAAATAAGATGCGGACAGGGCGCGGCTTGTCCCCGATTGCCAGCGACAACTTCAAACCAGCAGCGGCCACTATGGCGCTCCACTAGCCCGACCACCCAGTGACCGTGGCGAATGCGACCATGCTGCTACTTGCGACGGAAGAAGTAGCTCATGTAAATAGTAAGACTTTTTTCCGCCTACTATGGTGCCACCTCCGAGAGGTATACCCCGCGCCACTATGCGGGCCGCGGAAGGGGCTAAACTAGTTGGCTGGGACTCACGAGCAGCAGCTGCCGCTTCTCTTGCAGCTTCCTCCATTGTATTTGCTCGTGAGTCCTAGCCATCTAGTTTAGCCCCTTCCGCGTGTAGCGGCGCGGGGGATACTCTCGGAGGTGGCACTATAGTCGCCGGAAAGTGGCTCGCAACTTACATATAACTGAGGCCCTGCCGTAGGATAGCCCTATCGGGTGTATTTTTGTGTTTGCTAATTTTTTGTCCGCAGTTAATCCTAGTTTTGCCGCCATTTAATCATCACAAAAAAATCAGTTGCGCTTTGCAAAAATTTCGTGCGCAATTAATCCTACTTTTGGCGCGGTTGATTCGCCGCAAAATAAATGCAAATTTTAGATATGACTGAGGCTCTGTTAGGGATCATTTTCTGTGTAGATACTTTAGGACCGTTATTCGGAGGATAGCCCACAAGTAGGTTATGGACACGTCAAGACAGACCAAACAAATCTTCTATAATGTATCTATGTAAAATTCTATAATGGTTTCAATTAAATAAAGAAAAATGACCAACTGTATAGTATATTTTACATAAAATCTGGTTAACATCCTTGCTGGCACCAAAATTTTGTTCATGTTAACCAAGTGTTCTGAACTTTTTGAGTCCCAGGGGGCTTAGCATCAGAGGCTCAAGGGGTAGTCAAGAAAGACGTAAAATTGGCGCATCTTGCGTTTATTTGGCCTCTAGGTAGGAACCTATAAACGTAGGATGTGTTCCTTGGGACTCAGAGAGTTGACTCAGTTCCAAGGAATGCATCCAAATGAATGCAAGATGTACCGATTCTACATCTCTCTCTATTACCCCTTGGCCCCCACCACCCATCCCCCGGGGCTGAAAAAGTTCGTCTTATGAGGTTTTACGGTATAACCAGCAGCAGATTGTACACAACACAGAAATGGGAAATGCAGTTCAGGAGATCAAGTATCTTCTGTATTATGTGCATATCTGCATTATTATGTGCATATCTGCATCTGAGCTGATCCAGATACTCATTTGGTGCCTTTCATGCCGTTGAAATATTGGGCATATAACGCTAGATTCAGAATTTTAAATACCATTCAGTCACCAGAAGAGTGATGAAAACGTGCTGGCTGCATTTATTCTACAGGACATTTCCTGGTACCTGTTTTAGTTAGGGTCAGATGGGAACCCATAGTTCATACCAGCACCCTCTCCAACAGCCCCAATGGGTACTAGAGTACCACTTCAAGCCACTAGTTTTTGGTACAGTTAACATTTTTTAGCCAACATAATTGGCACACACAAACTGGACCACAGTTATAACTGATACTGCTCGCAGTAGGTTGAACTGGGTCAATTTTTTGTTTTGTTTTTCATAAATAGATGGAAACCCAATCCACACTTTTTTCTCTTGATATCCATAAATGCTGACAAAGGAGATGTCATATATGTACACCCCAGTTATAAACTTGACAACTCAGCTTGAATGGGTTCAATCTACAAAAAAAAGAAAAAAATGTCACATATAAGTAATGACATGACACTATTTGTTTATACAGGTGCGGTCAGACACTGTTGACCTAACTGACACGTCTTTGCTGGTGGACATATCAGATGCACTCAGTGAGCGAGAAAAGGTCAAGTTCACTGTCCACACGAAGGTGAATAAAAGTTTCTTTTTTTGGTACCCCCGGTTTTTTTTTTTTTTAATTAAAGAAATAATATTCATCATTATATTACATTAAAATAGTGTTTCCCAAACTTGTCTTAGCCGCTGCACCTTTTTTTCAACAAATTTTTGTCCACGGCGCCCCAACCTAAGTAAAATTATTACTATTCATATGTAAGAGATAAAAATAAATAAAACTTGTGTATCTTCGAATATTTTGCGTCACCCCGGGGCGCTGTGGTGCACAGTTTGGGAATCATTGCGTTAGAAGAAGAGACAAATCAGCTGCAGCCATCAAACTTACTACCAAAAAGGAAGAAACGTCACTATACACCCTAATTATAACCTACATAATGCAGGTTGAACAGGGTCATTTCATAGTAAAAGAAAAGGTAAGAATTACAGATGAATAGACAGTGTCAGGGTTGGCGTCTACTGTGATTTAAAGATATAGGCAAATAGGAAATGTGATCAGTTGGACTCATAAGAACAGGATGCCATGATTTGTGTGCAAGGAGGGGAGAAATAAGGAAGGGAATAGGGACAGAGAAGAAAATTATTGTATAAATATTAAGAGCTGAGTATCGCAGAAGAAGCAAGCATGTCTTATATGTGTCTTGTGCATTTACTGTGAAAGACTTTTTTTTTACGTGAATTAGTCTAACTATTCATCTTTGCTGTTACCATTGGCGGTGATTTCCATTCTTCTCTACAACACAATGAGACACTATTTTCTGGAAGGACAGATAGGCACCAACAACCTTTATAGATAAGTATAGTACCGTTGAAGCTCGCCTGTGGAACAGAAGGTCATGGGTTCGTCTCCTCACAGATCCAGTATTTTTTTAAAATAATGGCATTGGTTCCCAGATTAACCCAGCCTTCAGTGGGTACCAGATATAGTCCTGGGAAGTAAAGGCGGTTGACATGATGTTGACCATATCACCCACCGAGGGCCAGTTGGTCTATACAATATAGGTCTAACCCTATATGCCATATATGCATGGAAAATGGGTCCTTAATTTTTTTTTTCCAACTTTTTTATAGCCCTTTTAAATGTCTTAGTATATTTATATGTTAACAATAAAATTTCAAAGCAGGAATGTGACTTTATTATTTCACAAATTTGTTTTTATTATTCTTGTTTTTCTTTTGAATGTATAATTGCAGACAACCTTGCAGCACTTCAAAAATTCTGAAATGTCGGTGGTTCGGCAACATGAGGAATTTATTTGGCTTCACGATCGTTTTGTAGAGAATGAGGAATATGCTGGTATTATTGTAAGTGCTTTTTTCATTGTATTAACCTTTCTAGCACTCATTTGTCTCAGCTAAGGACATTCACCTGAGCTAGAGACATTCACCTTAACGGGGGGCACTTACCTGTCTGAGCTAGGGACATTCACCTGAGCTAGAGACATTCACCTTAACAGGGGGCACTTACCTGTCTGAGCTAGAGACATTCACCTGAGCGAGGGGCACTCACTTGTATGAGCTAGGGTCATTCACCTGAGCTAGGGGCACTTACTTGTCTGAGCTAGGGACATTCACCTGAGTGAGGGACACTCACCTGTCTGAACTAGGGACATTCACCTGAGCTAGGGACATTCACCTGAGCTAGGGACCTTCACCTGAGCTAGGGACATTCACCTGAGCTAGGGACATTCACCTGAGCTAGGGGCACTTACTTGTCTGAGCTAGAGACATTCACCTAAGCAAGGGGCACTCAACAGTCTGAGCTAGGTGACTTACGGATCGGTTCCACAGTCACGTGACGATTTTGTCACGTGTCTAAATTATTATAAATTAATTACTTTCAAAGTGACAGTATTCAAAGTGGTAGTGACCAATAGGGAAAGCCAGATTTATGTAGTGTGTTCTAACCAAAAATTTAAAAATAAGAGAGCACATTACGCTGTGGAGGGGAATCATGGGGTTGATTAAATAACACATCATGCATTGTTTAGGCCTGAAATAGTTATACTTTTTTTGCTTCATGTTTTAAATGACACAGATTAGTGTTTGTAAACAGTTGATATCAGCAGGTTTCAGTGAATGACTTAATTTGTTGACTGTCTTGTAGATTCCACCTGCCCCTCCCAAGCCAGATTTTGATGCATCTAGAGAGAAGTTACAGAGACTTGGAGAAGGTGAAGGAACAATGACTAAAGAAGAGTTTACCAAAATGAAACAGGAACTGGAAGCGTACGTTTTATTTTTATTCGTTGAAGAGTGTTGCAATGATAAATGTTTGTAAGGGTTAATGGTCTTCTTTTATGACTTCAAAGAATATGTGGTCTTTCTACAACAGTGAGCATTTGATTTGCCTCTATTCTGACAAAGAGATGGTATGGTTGAGGTTTTCATTGGTGCCTCGAAGTCAGATTTTATCCTGTGGGCCACATTTTTCACCCTCTGACTAGTTAAATCGAGACAGTCTTCTAAGACATGCTCTTAAGTTCACATCAAATTTCTTCTGCTGCTTCTGTCTTCCACTAGTTTTTTTTAGCTTAGAGTTTCAGAAAATTAAAACAGCAGAGTTCTTTTTAACAAAATGTTGAGGGGGAAAAGTGGTTCTTTTTAATGATTCTCATCGGGTAAAATATATGAAGACCACATTTTCGACCAAATGACAAATTAATGCAGCAAGTGAATAGTTTGCTCATGCACATTTCTCAGAACTGTTGGACATTCCAAGAATGAGATTAGGTCAAGCTAACTTGCTGCATTAAATGTTGCAAGGCGTCTTTGTGTGAAGGGATTGGCTCATGCTAACTTGCTGCATTAAATGTTATCTTTGTGTGAAGGATTGTCTTCATGGTCACTGAGAAAAGGTTGCAGCTTAAGAAAATGTGTGGGATGCATTGTTTTGGATGGCCTACTGAGTGATGGATTATTTGAATCGTGAAGATCTTCAGAGAATTTAAGATGCCTGTTATAAGCTTTTGGTAGCCCATGTTCTTTGTTGATGTTGTTGTTGCTGCTTGACACAGTTGTAGGATTCTCTGTATTTTTATGTCAAAGACATTAGAGTTATAGCTATGTTTTAAATTGGCATGTCCACTCTTTTTTATCGCTGGCTGTTAACACCAGAAACAAGTTCTGCCCGCTTGTCAGTTTCAAGACTTTAAATCTTGTTCCAGAACTTGAGTTTTGTGTGCATATCCATTTTACATATCTGTCTTTTTTGTATGCAGATTTTTGGTTCCTTGTCTTTCAGTCAGATGCACTCCGACTTTGAAGGAAACGGCCATAATTATTCACTTTGTATGACATACTGGCAACTGCCAGTGAGTCTTTTTGTTTTTCCCCAGAATAGAGTTTCCCTAACCTTTCTGACGAGCATGTCTACTGTTTGTGATATGTTCATTTTCTTAACATCATAAGAATCCACCATTAAATTGTTGATTATTGCTGATTATAGGGAGTATCTTGCCACCTTTAAGAAAACTGTGGCCATGCATGAGGTTTTTCTTCAAAGACTTGCTTCACACTCAGTGCTCAGGCATGACGTCAACTTTGAAGTCTTCCTTGAATACGCTGGTGATGTAAGTGTATTTTAAAATTATCTATGCGAATGTGAAACTTTGTGGAACGTGGCTTTAAAAAGTTCCTGAAATTTGTTTACTGTGGTTACAGTGCAATCTTTTAGTTGGGATGCAATCCTTTAGTTATGATGCAGTCTTTTATATAAAACATTTCCTTTCAAACGTCTTTGACAACTATATACTTTTGCCAACATCCGCTCAGCTGATGTGAACATTTCTGGAACCCATTTATTAAAATCCAGACAGGTCATTGTTCATTTTTGAGATCATCTTCATGGCACATTGGACATGACCATAAGTGCTCCGATCTCCTCCTGAGTGTGTCTCCAAGTGTTTGTAGGCTAACAACTCCCATTCTGTTCTGGTTGATGTAACGACGGGTGGCTCCTTCATGGTTTCCCTGTCTCGCCATTCCAATAGGAACACCTAGGGTATGCAGTCTATTCAGTGAAAAATCATTTTCCACAAAATTGAAAGCCTCACGGCGTTCAGTCTTTTGTATGATTAAGGATGTCAAAGGAAAAGAACCACGAAAGACGCTCTGGTCATCCACGTTGGAGGGTGAAGCGTGGGGCCGATACTTCTACCTTTGTAAAACCTCATTTTGTCACAAAACAGATATCTAAGCGTTAAATTGGGATGAGAAAAAAAAAAGAGATAAATGGCGGCAGATGATATCTGCAGAAATGAACTTTAAGGGCCCAGAATGCTGAAGAAGAAGAAGAAAACTTTTCTTAATCTCTCAGCTGCATTGCAACATTGATGGTAACATTCTTAGCATTCTTGGATTTACAACTCCACGTTGATTTGAAGTGAAACAAAATTAAGCAGATAAGGTCGTGCCAGAACAAAAGCACATTGAAGATTTTCCACAGCGGCTGCATTGTTGTTGCACATTCCATCACCTGTTAACATTTAAATGCAGCACATAAGTATCTATGCCAGTAAGGCTTTGAAGGAAGAACCAGAGTAGGTGGAATCAGATTTGACTAATATGGGTAAGTAAACCTCAGTTTAGCGGTCAAAGTAGTTGTAGCTCACAACACAGAAATATTAAAAAAAGAATATGAAAGAAAAATTTTTTTTTTTTTCTTTTCAGTTGAGTGTTCGAGGAAAAAACAAAAAGGAGAAACTTGGTGGCTTTTTCAAGAGCATAACAAAGTCAGCTGATGAAGTTATTATTTCAGGCCAGAAGGTAAAAGGAAAAATTTTTCTAGTCCTTTATTGTCAGTTGACGATCACATGTAAAATTTGCTTAAGAGCCTATTGTTGTCATGAATAACTTATCATTGTTGCCATAGATGCATAATGCTTAACATGAGAGGCAGGATCACATAACATGTTTTGTGCTGAAAACCTTAAGAATGATTTTTTGTTAAAACTAAATTTCCTTAGAAATTTACCGTATTGAATCTTTATAACATTAAACGGCATCAAATCCTATGAATGAGCACCAGAAAGGAAATGAAGGCCAGATTTTGAGGGCATGTGTCTTCCCTCTAGCAACATACAGATGTGGGCGTGAACTATCTCTCAGTCATTAAAGAAGAAAATAATATATAAATAATAATAAAAATATAGAAAGATTCTCAGAACACCATGGATCAAGAAGATAAGAAATACTAAAAGTCTAAAAGATTAGAACATCACGGAAGATTGGTTAGTAAGCAGCATCTTTTTTCAGAAACGAAAATACATTGGTCATATCAAGTTCCGCAGTAGATTGGAAAGAATAGTAGCGGAAGGTGTAGTGCCAGGAAGGTTATGGGGGGGGGGGGGGCTGACCAGCATGCAGATGGATGCAGGATGTAAGTAACACCTTGGGAAGGAAAGTGCATAATGCTGGAGATTTGGTGCGAGACCTAGTTTTCCTCAGGCAGGCTGTGATGAAAACGACGTTTTGCAGAGAACCTGCTACATTATTGTCTGATTTCTTTCTCAGTGCTAATATTTGTTACTTTCATTTATTAGTGACAGATATTACATAAATTTATTCTGTTAATTATTAGCCTGCTTGTTCATCTGTTTTTATAGGATGTTGATGAATTCTTTGAATCAGAAAGGGTGTTCCTTGTTGAGTATCATAATAAAATAAAAGATGCTACAGCAAAAGCTGACAGGATGACCAAAGTGCACAAAAGTAAGTGACATTAGGTTTTTTTTTTAATGCTCACCTATTAATGTGATTGCATTATGCTCACCTAATTAATTAATTTTAATCAATGTTGTAGTGAAAAATGAGCCAAGTATTGACATTATTGCCCCCGGCACATTACCATACCTGCCGCCTCCCTCCCTGATAGCTGCGAAGTTTTATGTTGTGGTTTACAGCTTGGACAGTGTGTCTGATCTTTTCCACTCAAACAGGGACCCTAGAACCCATACACTGAGATCCCATCCCTTGTATTGAAAACTAGGTTAGAAGAGTATTGTCATCATATTCAGAGCGGTCAGTCAAATCCCTCCAAAACCATCTTTTTCTGGTGTCTTGACATTTGATAGCAGGATGTTGTCTGTACCACTCTACAGACGTCTCTCTTTGTTGATCCCTGTCTCAGACACTCTTGTTTTCCAGACTGTCACATTTTTTTATTTGAGCAGAAGGTTGATATACTTGAATAATAATTGTTACAGATATTAATAAAGGTCGCCATGACATGTGAAACTATATTAAAGGGTCGAGGCATTAGGAAGTTTGAGAATCACTGCTAAAGACACTTTTGGCCCAGTGTGGAAAACTAGGTATGGCAGAATGTTCCAGCTTTCAAAGTTATTTTTATTCTGACAGCGCTTTGCTGATAATTTCCACATTTGGACGGAAGTCTATGTTTCACTACCCAAGTTACTGAGTTAGGTACTTGATGCAGCACTGTGAGGTTTTTTTTTGGGGGGGGGGGGGGGGGGGGGGGGGGGAGTGCTTGGTGTAGCACTATGATCCATTTTATTTTCACTCACATTTTTTTTTCTTATATGGGGTGCCTTTTAATTTCTGCCGTTGTTCAGCAGTTGTATTCAATATGGCCCGTAGCTTTTTTTATGTCTGGGCTGGCGAAATACCTTATGTAATAATTTTGCATGTGTATAGCCAGCTTATCGTGACCAATTACTTACATCAATGACTAACTAATTTTTTTCAGGTGTTGCAGATTCTTATATTCAGATTTCAACTGGCCTGGTACAGTTAGCTACCATTGAAAACACAGAACTTGATAGGTAAGACATCGCCCATGTGTGTCTGTCTAAAAACTCCTAATGGTGATCATAGTAAGCTTTGAAAGTGTGGCAGACAAGTGCATGGCAATTTATTTAATGTCTTCAGTGTTTTAAAAACTTGGGAAAGCGGGGAAAATGTGGCAAAAACGTTAAAGTTTCCTTTCCTGAAGCTGGGATACTTGAAGGAAACTATAGAATATATGTTTTGAAAATGTTATCACTCATTGGGAAGAAAGATAGTTAGTTTTGTATTATTTACAAGATGTGGCAGAACCAGCTCCATAATGTTTTGGCTGTTTGGTTTTACTAAGCGATTTTATGCTAAGTAGTTATTGGGAATACATGTATAGTAAATAAGAAGCCGCAAAACTGACACTTCCATTTAGGTCCAGATCCCTAGAAAGTCACTTTTCCAACTTGGTTGTAGTTATCTATTCATGAGACGCCTTGATAATAACACTATCACGTGTGCCTACGCACATGTTTACAAGGGTCACAAATTACTACTTTTACTACAAATAAGTTTTAGTGGGGTTTTCCTAGGAAACAAATGGCTATATTAAGAGAAATTATGATGTAATTTTCCCATAGGCTACAATGTTAACCTTCAAGTGGGTCACAGGGTAAACAGAGATGTGACCTAGTTAATTCTTTACTGCTGTCATGTTAAATGATGACTCTTGTATTCTGTATGGAATTTAATAATCTTTTGGTCGCCTATTAAAATTTTTTTTTTTTTATAGAAATGTTTTTTGTGTGTTTTTTTTTCAATTATTCCTAATTACAGGTCAGTTTCATTTAAATTCTAGGTCACCGGGGCAGCAGGGTTAAGTCTGTAAACTGTGGCAACTGCCTGTGCAAATGGTTTTATCTCCTCACCCTTTATCAAGAGCCTCTAGGTATACATCAGCAGCTGTACTAAAGGCAGTAATGATAGTTTCTTTCCCTGAAGTGTTAAGTCAGATTTCATCTGAGTCTGAATGCTTTAAGAATCAGAATAATCCATGAATGTTGTTTTGATTTCTTATGCAGTCTGACGTTCTGACGCTAGCGTTTTACTGAAAATTATTATACATGCTTTCCCGTGTGGGTACTGGGGCCTATTGTGGAGGGAAACAAGAATAGACCCATTGCCTGCCCAAAAGCATTTCGCGGGAGTCTACTTATTGGAATCTTCCTTTGAAGTTGGAGTACATCTGCTTGAGAGACAAGGAACCAACAGTCTGCATGCATAGGAGTCAGACCTGTGAAATGAATTTACATGCAACACTCAGGTTCTGGAACAGGACTAGAGTCCTGAAGTGGATGAATAACTAAAACTTTCTGCTGGAGTTTACAGCCGGTGAATGTGAAGAAGAAGGATAACAGTCAATTGGAAGCCTATAAAAATATATAATATAACAGACCTCCTTAGGGCTTTTTTTTTCCAGAATAAAAAGGTGCCGGTATTTACCACTAAGTGTATCTACAAAAGTTGTTGGTACTCACCATAAATTATCTCACCGTAACACTAAAAAAAAAATGAGACCTATTAAAAAGAGGTGTCAGTGTGCATACCGCCTTGTTTGGCATACCAACAGATATGTCAAATATGTTGTTTCTCTTATATTTGAACATTTAAACCATTGCATTAATTTGTTAGTTTTTGTTTTTATTTACGCATTAGTTGTCAATATTTTATTGTTTTATTTTTCAGAGTTTTTAGCAGAGTTGCTGAAGCTCTAGAAAAGGCTAGGGTAAGTATTTTGTTCTCATGTTGTGACATATGCTTTATAATTTTCACCACTGCTAAATGGCACAGAAAACTGAACAAGGTACTAGCAGTTAGGAAGTTGAAGTCTTTGAAATGTGCCTATACGCAACATATTGTATTTTATGGACATATTTCAAACAAGATAAAGGGCATGGCTCTTTTATTAAAAACCACACTGAAGGAAAGGTTGAAGGCAGGCGGGCAAAAGATGGGAAAAGATCATCATCATCATCAAGTGCCTTGCAAGCTGGAGTAGGCGTTCATGCATCTCCACAGATCTCTGAGTTTGGTGTTTTTGATCAGTTCCACTGGTGATATTCCTCCATGCCACTGTCTTAAGCCATCCACCTTCATTTCTCTTGGTCTGTCTCTGCCTCTTCTATCAGTGATCTTTCCAGTAGTCACAATATTTTCTAGTGCTAAGAAAAGATACAAGTGAAAATGTCTTAGATAGTGTGAAACCAGAGCAAGTGACAGATAGGTTGAGGATCCATTGCAGCCAATGTTTGTTGTAAAGACATTGATGATGGAATTTAAAAAAGGGTAGTACCGTATATAAAAGTATTATAATTTTTTTATTGTATGTTATTTGTGAATTTTAAGTGCGAAATTGAACATTGCTCTTGCCCTGATTTATTCCCTTCATGATAAACAATATTTTAATAGTAGTTGCCAGTAAGCACAGTAAATCTATCAGCTGGGAGCATTGAAAAAATGAAGTAATTTCATTGTTTATTATGAAGAGTGTAGCTACATCACACAATTACACAAGGATATTGGGTTATTTCATCACTTATTATGGAGAATGTAACTACATCACACAATTACGCAAGGATTTTGGGTTATTTCATCACTTATTATGGAGAATGTAACTACATCACACAATTACGCAAGGATATTGGGTTATTTCATCACTTATTATGGAGAATGTAACTACATAACACAATTACACAGGGATATTGGGTTATTTCATCACTTATGGACAATGTAACTACATCACATAATTACGTAAGGATATTGGATTATTTCATCACTTATTATGTAGAGTAAAACTATATCATTCAGCTACACAAGGATATTATTTTATCATTTATTATGGAGAATATAACTATATCACACAATTACCCAAGGATATTGGATTATTTCATCACTTATTATGGAGAATGTAACTACATCACACAATTACACAAGGATATTGGATTATTTCATCACTTATTATGGAGAATGTAACTACATCACACAATGGTACCCAGGATAGAAAATTGCGACTCCCCACTACACTGTGAGGCAATTGTGGACAAGACTAGACACAATTAAACAAGGATGTTGGGTTATTCATCATTTGTTTTAGAGAATGTAACTACATCACACAATTACACAAGGATGTTGAATGATCAGACTGTGTTTTAGCTGTATAGAACTGGTGATAATTTAGCACAGTTGTGTAACATCAGCTTACTCTTTGGACTGACTAACATATCTATGATGATATACAGCATTCATCAGAAGTAAACTTTGTGGTCCATTCATTTCTGGTTTTTCAACATTCACAGAAATTGGAGGGAAGAGTTGCCACAGATGAAGATTTGAAATTGAGTGATACACTGAGGTACTACATGAGGGACTCCGTGGCAGCCAAGGACTTGCTGTACAGAAGAATGAGATCACTCGTAGACTATGAAAATGCTAACAAGGCCTTAGAGAAAGCAAGAACCAAGAACAAGGATGTTGCACTGGTAAGCAGTGGTTCATTTTTCTGTCCTTGGCATAATTCATCACTTGGTTAAAATTCAAAATAGTGGGTGAAATTAGCTTCTTCTTCTTCTTCTGGTTGTTCGTCCACTTCTGGGGTCTAGTCCTGTTCCAGAAACGGAGTGTTGCGTGTACATCCGTTTCACAGGTCTGACTCATTTGCATGCAGATTGTTGGTTCGTTGCCTCTCAGGCAGATTGTACTCTGACTTCGAAGGAAGCTTCCAATTAGTTGACTCTTACGACATGCTTTAGTGCAGGCAGTGGGTCTATTCTTGTTTTCCCCAAAATGGGACCCCCAGAACCCACATGTGGAAGGTGAAATTAGCAATTAGGATACCTTTCTGTAACATTTAGAAACACAGGTTCTATCTCTTCTTCTGTGTTCAGTTTCCTTCGCTCAGTATTCTACAGAGTGTCCCATAAGTTACCATACATAGGAAACATAAACGTATCACCGGTGCCATTACAAGGAAAAGACCAGCTGTGCTTCTTCTTTTCTCTACTCCTAGAATGCTTCGCGGCATCAAGGCAGAAAAAGATCTCTGGAACGGGCCCTTCTGTTCACTTTGTATCACTTTTCAGTGTCTTATATATAGAATTGTATAGAATTGCTCTTTGTGGTGCCCTGTCTGATGCCAATCTAGTTAGATGGCCAAACCATTTGATTATATGTCTAGCTATAAAGTTCAGTATTGGTTCTGTGTGCTTTTGCTCCTGATATCATCGTCTTAAGTCAGTCCTTAGCTATAAACCACAGCACAGCATGCCAGCCACCATTTTGAGTAGAGAAGAAAAAGAAATTATATTTATCATAGAGGTTAATTAGGATGTAGCTGACAAGTCTGAACTATTTTTGACATTCATAATTTACACTGTTTATTTTTTGCAGGCTGAGAAAGCACAAGAACAAAGCTGCAAAAAGTTTGAAAAGATTTCCGAAGTAGCGAAAAAAGGTATGTACATTGTGTGCTGATTTTATTGTGGTGGTGATGTGTATTGTAATGTGTTTCTGCATGAGCTCTTTGTAGTTTGTCACTTGTTTGTTAATATTTCACACTTTTTTACCAATTGTGCTGTGCATTATATGTCTGCTTTTGAATGTTACAATGTTCTTTTTTTTACAGAAATTCTGGAATTCAAGACTCGAAGGATAGCATACTTTAGGAAACATTTAGTAGAACTTGTGGAGTTGGAAACTAAGCATGCAAAAGTAAGTAAGATCATACATGAGTTGTGTGTACATGTGAATCATACATTGAGTGGTACACTATACTTTTAAACTGTACATTGAATTATGCACATTATTTGTGAATCTTATGTTGAGTTTTACACATTATTTGTGAGTCTTATGTTGAGTTTTACACATTATTTGTGAGTCTTATGTTGAGTTTTACACAGTATTTGTGAGTCTTATGTTGAGTTTTACACATTATTTGTGAGTCTTATGTTGAGTTTTACACATTATTTGTGAGTCTTATGTTGAGTTTTACACATTATTTGTGAATCTTATGTTGAGTTTTACACATTATTTGTGAATCTTATGTTGAGTTTTACACATTATTTGTGAGTCTTATGTTGAGTTTTACACATTATTTGTGAGTCTTATGTTGAGTTTTACACATTATTTGTGAATCTTATGTTGAGTTTTACACATTATTTGTGAGTCTTATGTTGAGTTTTACACATTATTTGTGAATCTTATGTTGAGTTTTACACATTATTTGCGACTCATACATTGAGTTGTGCACATTATTTGTGAATCATACATTGAGTGTTACACATATGTTTGGGAATCATAAATTTAGTTATACACATTGTTTGGGAATCATACATTGAGCAAATCTGCTGCCTGTGATTGTGGAGCAGAAAGACAAACCCCTGAACACATACTGCAGTACTGCCCTTACCTATCCCAGCAAAGACTGTGGATCTGGCCCAAAGGAGCCACATTGCAAGAGAAGCTATGGGGGACCGGTGGCGACCTTAAACGCACAATCCTATTTGTGACCCAGACGGGACTCAATGTTTAGCATGACTGATATCGAACGCAGAAGAAGAAGAAGAAGAAATACATTGAGCTGTAGACATTATTTGTAAATCATTGATTTGTGCACATTATTTGTGAATCATACATCTGTACCAGATGATAGTGTATAATATGTAAACATGCCTCTGTCTCCCTTTTATCAGTGTAGCTTAAGAAGTGAATCCTAAACAGTCAGTGATTAGAGGAAATTTGTGTGGGAGCGTCTGAGATTTGGTTTTATAGAAGAATGATGAGAGCACCGTGAGCAGATAAAAACATAGGGTGCCTGGTTGCAAGGATCAGATCTGTAATGATCATATCTGAAAAGAAGTTAATCATAAAGAGAACTGATTACCTACATCAGAAAAGGACAAGCTGCATTCTTTTGACATATCTTCTTCTTCTTCTTCTCAGTGTTTACAGGCTGTATATGTGGGAGTTTCTGGTTTATCCTCTTCTGAACTTTGATCTTGATCCAGAACTTGAGTGTTGTGTGCACAACTGTTTTTACAGATGGGCTTATTTATGGGAAGACTGAGGAAGGAAACACCCTTAACAAGTTGTCCCTGTGACATTTATTAAAGGGTCAGTGGGTCTATTCTTCTTTCCCCCCCCCCCCCCAAATGGACTCCTAGAACTCACATGGGGAGTATTGTGTGAGTGTGCTAGACCTGTGTATTTAAAAAAAATAAGTTGGCTCTCTGTGGGTGATGTGCTCAATATCATGACAGCCACCTTTACTTCCCAGGACTTTAGCTGGTACCCATTTTAGGCTGGGTCAGCCTGGGAGCTGAGTTGATTTTTTTTTAAAAGAAAAATATCTGGCTTGATGCAGATTTGAACTCACAGCCTTTGGACCCAAGGCAAGCATGCTAGCCGCTGCTGCATAATGATTCTCATAGAAGAATATATGTGTCAAGAAATTATTGACAGGAAACAATTCAAGGAGCCATGAATAGAAATGGTTACCACCACCACACCACATGGATTGTTAGAAGGAGTTTAATATTAAACATCTATGCAAGCACACCCTCTTTTTTGATGTATGTTGCTGTAATTAAAAATTTATTGTTAAACTTAAAATGTATTATCAAATTAAAAGTGTATTATTGCTCCTAAATATAAAATAGTATTTGTGAGAATATGTGTCATTCTCTGGGTCACTAGTTTCACAGTTAACTCATCATTTGGCAGCCTAGAGCCTGGCTCGCTAGCGTAGTTGCTTAAACCTAACTTCATGGCGACCAGGTGACACACTCCTTGTGGTCTGGGTTCACGCCCAGGGGTAGGCAGAAAAGCCACATTTCTCCCAGATTTACGGTATCTATCATGGAATCAAGGCTGAAGGGTTGCAATATTCATAGTACCAAGCCAAAGGGTTAACAACAACTAAAGGTTTCTGGATATTTAAAAAAAAAGTGGCAACCTAGACCCACAGTTAACAGTAAAATAGGAGTAAATGCTGTGAGGCTGATAAAAAGAATTAAATAAAACACAACAACACAGAATATGACTAGGAAACTCAATGAAGACAGGACAGACACGCACAGACACAACCGAACACTGCGACCAGTGTCTTTACCAACAAATACAACAAAAGTAATCCCACACCACAGAAAACAAACATTAGTATACAAGAAAAATCAATCCAAGTGGGAAAGGAAATGGAAATGTAAAAAACAGGACAGGAAGGGTTGTTGAGAAGTCAAACAAATGAATGAAAATCTTTTCTCCAAACAAATAACACATAAACTGATGATGCGGCTAATTCAGTGCTGTATGTGTTCTACATTCAGGAAAGACTTTGACTTCAAATACGGAGCTCTAAAATTGAAAGATGGATCTTTAGAAGACGAAATGGCACTGTTGAAGAAAATAAAAATGAGTAATAAAAGTAACTGTGGCCACAGAAAGTAGCAGCGCTGTACTCATTGTTATCTTTTCTTTCTGAATGTTCAGTGGCTAAACTGCTATTTATGATTACATTTATCTTTAAGAATAATTTCTTTCTTTCAGGCTCAAGTCCAGTTACTTCAGAACTGCATCAATGCCTTGCAAGCAAAAGAAGAATGAGCAAGTGTGGGGAAATAGTTTTACACTGTTAGATGACATAAATGTATATTTTGTGTGGCAGATTTGCCTTGCATTACCATTACCATTGCTACAACTGCAGGACTGTGTTAGTGTTAACCTAAGTTCCAGACGTGAGCCACTTGCATGAGAATTCTGACTACAGGGTGCTAACTTTATTATTAATCTTTTGTGTGAATTTTTGTTCAGTTTCATTGGGCACTTTGTTGAGGATATTTTCTACACACAACTTCCCTTCTTTTGTATTTGTATTTTTTTTTTTTAAAGTTGCTCTTGTTAAAACAGATTTATATTGGCAGGCTGTAGCTAACTACGCTGTTCAAAAAGAAACAAGGAAATGCATAGTTATCTTGACGCACTTTCCTGTAAAATAGAACAGAAAAAAATAGGAACACAAAATTATCCGATGGTGCATTTTTATTAGTTCATGGGAAAGCCTGTACACCTAAAAACTGTCACTACACGGATGCATAAGAACTATTGGTTGAAACCTAAGGTATTCTTGTATGCATTTTGAACAGTTTCATTAATTAAATTACAAAGATTTTGAATGTCAGAATTATGACAAAATTATATCCCTTACAGTATCTGACTTCCCTTCCCATTCATCCCTTGTCATGTTGTAGGGTCTGTCCTGTATTGCGAGTGTGTCATGCTTAGTGACCGGCCACCAACACCTAGTATTTTTACTCGTTGTTGTCAACGTCTGGCGATATCACATGTTCTATATTCCACGATGTGAGCACTTTAAATGGTCCCAAAACACGTAGAACTGGCCCTAACCCCATATCCTCAACCTGCGACCACAACTGCATGCAGGACTTACTTCTGAAGCTTACAGCCGGTGAACAAAGAAGAAGACAATCAATGGAAAATGTAATGGTTGCCTGAGTGAAATCAGACAAAACACTGACTTTATTCCACAGTATTGTTTTCATTTAGCCAGAATGTGTTCTGAATTCAGTAGTTTCAAGTATTTTTCAACATCATTCAGAATGTAGTATTAAGTTTCTACCTTCGTACTGATACATGTAGTTGGAGACTGCTAACTCAGTATGTGTGATTTATATGAGATTTAGGAAGTCGCCCAGGCCGTCGATCGGAAAGTCGTGGGTTCGCTCCCTGGCGGAGCTGAACTTTATTAAAAAATAACCTTCACTCCCAGGTTGACCCAGCCTTGAGTGGGTACCGGGTGCAGTCCCGGGAAGTAAACATCTGGCGTGATGCTGACCATATCACCCATCTTATGCCGATTGATTTATAAAATATAGGTCTAGCCCTATACGCCTAAAGGTGTGGAAAAGGGTCCTTTACTTTTTACTTTACTTATATGAGATTTATGTTTTGGATCTCCTGATATTTTTTTTCTTGGATTGTTTGCCTACCCCAGTGCTTAGAATTGTCCTACTTTCTTCTAGATATATTTTGAAATTTTGTGTTTGTTTCACCATGACCTTTTTGTGCCAAACTGATAATCTTGAGCGTTCATAATTCACAATCTCACACAGTCACCATATTCTTGGATCAGGAAAGTGTTCTCGACTCAGTTATGCAATGTAGCCAGGCTGTCCAGGTATTTATCAGTCGTCCCCTTCTTCTTTTCCCATCAGGTTTTGAAAGTTGTCTCTATATTCTCAGGTTTATTTCTCAGAGATTGAGGTGAAATGTAACAAAATTGTGACCTATTGATTTTTAGAGAGTTAAAAAATGTAACAAAACTGTGACCTAAGAAATTGTAATAGTCTTTGACCAAAGGAAAAGTAACACAATTGTTAACACTACAAAAAGTCAGACTCTTAGACTAAAACTGTGGTGTGTGTATATATATATGTGTGTGTGTGTGTGTTTTGCAGTGGCAAGTATGCAATTAAATTCCTCAATATTTTCTAGAAATGCCTTCCTTGAAAGGTTAAAGCTCTGTTCAAAACAGCACTGTGCTACCTGTGTCACACTTAGACCCTGTCTTCTTTTTGTGTTCACCCTTAAATTGGTGATTAGCACATTGTGTTGTGGTTTACAGCTAGGCTGCGATGTCTACACTTTTCATGAAAAAGTTTGAGAGAATGTGGCACCTGGGCTCACTACGCTCAGAGGAAAGGCAAGACAGGCATATAACCAGATTGTGACCTGTACCATCAGTATTGGAACTCGGCGCTGGCTGCTGAAGATGAGGACAGAGCACGCATGGGAATGCCCCGAGTGCTGTGATGTCAATTCTTGACTCAACTCAACTCTGTCCACACTTTTCAGTCCCACACATCCAGTTTCAGAAATGCCCTTTTTTTTTCACCTCTTACAACATGCTTGTTAAAGGGGAGTGAGTCTTTTTTTTCCAAAGTGGGGCTTCCAGAACCCACACAAGAAGGACACTGTCAGTATAACTCATATACATAAATCCAGCACTTATGAGATGAGATACAGGAGGAAATATGCCAGTTCTTCTTCTTCTTCATTCACCGACTGTGAATTCCGGAGGAAGGTCCCAGTTAATCGTCCGCTTGGACTTTTGGCTTTTACCTGGACCTGAGTTTTGCGTGTACAACCATTTTACTGGCTTTTGCTGTTCCCTGCCTCACGGGCAGCTGTACTTCGACTTCGAGGGAAGACGTCAGGCCTATTTCTAGGATGACTGGCCATTGTTTTGTGTGGGTCGAGATGTTGCCTGATTTGTGTGGTGTCCTCTTTGTCCCTTTCTCTACAGGTGTTGACCCCGGAGTACCCCATTTGGGGCAGCCCTGTGTGGAATGGTTAGCTCTCAGGAGAAGGCAGGAAGGAGATCATGGGCATTCCCCAGCACATTGTGTTGTCCATTACAGAATTTTGCAGAACCAACCCCAACATTTTTTTTGGGTTGTTTGTGATTTCACTAGGCAATTTTACGTTCAGTAGTTTGCCATAGTTTTCTGATGGTCAGCTCGTGATACTACTCTTGAAAGCATCGCAAGGTTGTCTGCTGCAAACTCGCTCACAGTTAGGATCGAACCCAGCATACTGGAATTATGAAGTGCATTCGCAGCACCTATGCCACAGACACTTGACTGTTTAGTAAACTGTTTGAAAAAATATCTCTACATATTATTTGGAATACATCAGAGCAAAGGAACTGTGAGTAGAAATGGAAGGGAAATAAACAGTTTAACTTATTTCAAATTATTTTGTTTTCCCTGGTGTTCTCAAAATTATACGTTATTTAGTTGTTTTGTTGTATTGTAGAATTCACACATTCCATGTACAGTGTTGCTTTTCCCATTGTTTCTTGTCCCATTTCACCCTTGCAGTATTTTGATTTCAATCAGAACTTCACGCAGGTGTCTTTATTTTCCGCCACTGTTTTATCAAAACATATGTGAATGTTTAAAAGTTTTTTTTTTTTTCAAATACAGGGTGTTTCAAGGAAAATTGGTTATTGCACATAAAAAATATTGTTTGCACTGAAAGGCAGTACACTAAGTTTGATCTCTGACATTAGAAGTTCTCAAACATACAACTTGCAGATGTTATCCCCACATTTCTTTCAGCTGACAACTTTTAATTAAAAAAGATTTATTCTCTGTGATTTCCCAGAAATCTTCAGTTTCTCTTAGTTCCTCATTGCTCATCAGACAAGTTCATCAGCACTCTGGTCCAATCTTTAGTATATCCATCAGTCTGTGGCCATCGATATGATAACACAGTTTCTGTGGTGAAGTAGTCACGCTGTTTACCTTGTGCTATGGAAGCCTTGAGCTCATATTCATTTTGGACTTCCGTTTTCAAAATGGCGGACAGCAGCTGTGTTTATTTTCGCTGGCTGTCAACTCTCGGATTATTCTGTTCTATAATAATGGACTGCTATTTTATGCGCATTTCCAACGCAGGATATTATGTGTTTTTCGTGGGAACAGCGTGTATTGTGGTTGTGCTGTGTCGGGGCGGGATAATGACCGATAGTTTTGGCAGCCTCGACCACGCTGCCTTCGCAATGTTTTGATCGCGGCGGTCCACTCGGGAAGACAGAATCTCGTCAGCAGGGGACTGCAACTGTCTAGAGAGCAAACTCGATAAAAGCTGTCCCCAGAAACGGAATGTGTCAACCATATATTTGGTGGGGAGGAATCGACACATACGGTTAACTCAATGGCCATATTCATTTTTAAGTGCTTTTTGGAGGGGTGGGGGGGGGGGGGGTGTTTCAGAGATACCTGAGGTTCTCTGTTGTATTAGTTGACTAATTAGGAGTGTTTCCTTTAAGGACAGATTGCCTCTGCCGGAGATTCAAATGAGCAAGATCTGTGAAATGAATATGCACGCAAAACTTTAAAAAAAAAAAGGATCTAGAACGAGACTGAAGTCCAGATGTAGGCGAAGACCAGAATTTTCCACTGGAGTTTACAGCCAGAAAACCTGAAGCTATCTGGAAGCCATGGCTTATTTTCAGTTTTGAGTGTAGTAGTTTTTTTTCCCATAGAGATACCTGGGAATCTCTGTCGTAATAGTAGACTAATTAGAAGTGTTTCTTTTTAAAGACAGATTGCCTCTGTCTGAGAGATGAGGAAAGAACAGTCTGCGTACAAATGAATAATATCTGTAAAATGAATATGCACACAAAACTTAAAAGATCTAGAGAGAGACTAAAGTCAAGATGTAAGTGAATAACCACCACTTTCTGCTGGAGTTCAGCCAAAAACCCGAAAAAGAGAAAGAAAAAACTGACATATTTTAAAAAGGATGCTACAGACATTTTCTCAGATTACATATGTTGAGCTTATTTCTGTGCAGTTAATGTATTATCTGTTTCAAATCATGAAGGCTCATTAATTAGTTAATATATTGTATTATCTGTTGGCCAGTGGTCACTCATGACTAACATAAATTGTAAAAGAAATTAAAATAATCTGTAAAATGTTAATTGAACTATATGCTGTCTCTGACATATTCTTTGAACCTTATATTAAATTGTCTCCATGCAGCTTCCACTTGTCTATGGTTGCTTTTCCCCTCCCCTTCATTTTGTCATGTCTGCGAACTTCTGTTAGTGTTTTTGTGCAATAAATGACTTCATGGTATTTAATGTTGATGCATGTGGGTTTTTTTTTGGGGGGTTCCTTGCTCATATAACTGCAGCCTGTATTTTGTATATTCTGTGTAATTCGTACTTCCATAATTATTTTGTGAGTCATGAAAAAAAAACGTGTAATACTTTTGACAAATGTTAGCAACACTATGATGTATGGTTTTGAAAGAACAAAATAATGTTGTTGATATAGTAATTGGTGTTTTTACTCTTACACAGACACTGGAAGACTGTCTTGTCACATAGTTGCAGCTAAAAGCCTAGATTTCATTTGAAACAGTTGTAACATATACAAACTGATATTTGGTTGCATATTGTCAAGCTAAAAAAAAATTTGTAACATGTTAAATTCATGTCTTCTTCTGCATCCCCCTTAAAATAGTGGTTGGTGTTTTATATTGTAGTTTGAGGTTAGGCTGCAGTATCTGCACCTTTTGGCCCAACAATCTCTGATTTCAGCAAACCCTTAATAAGAAATCTTTTACAACTTGCTTGTTAAGCGGCAGTGAGTCCGTTCTTTCACTCAAAATAGTACCGTAGAACCCACATGGGGAATTGTGAAGTTGAAAGTTACTCATTAACTCATTTAGTACCAAACATGCTTTTATTGGTAAGTCTGTACAGGATTTCTTCGCTTCGTAATGCCAGGATGCCAGGTTCGATCCCAGCTGCAGGCAATGCGCCTTGCGCTGGTTTCAACAGTGGTATCAAGAAAGCCGACCGTCCAGAAAGCAGTGGCAAACTACTAGATGTAAATTGCCTAGAGAAACCACACAATAGCCAGGGGATGTTAGGGTTGGTTCTGCAACGTCCTGTAAAGGATACACAACTAACTTTCGTACAGGATTTGCTTTTCGTAAATTCTGCATGGCTCATTCAATTGTTAAAATGCTTCATTCAGTTGTTAGACTAACTTACTCTTTCTGATTATTGCCTTTACTCATTCTGTAACATTAAAGACATCTTACATCCACATGAAATGGATCTTACATCCACAGGAAATGGATCTTACATCCACATGGAATGGCAAAAACCAGTGCCACCCATCAGGCAATGGATTGTATTTCTCCCAGTGTGGGTTCCTGGTCCCCATATGTGGGGAAAGGGGGGGGGGTACAACCTCCCCTGAATATAAGCATGTGTGAAAGCTGCTAATTATGGGTGTGTTCCTTTGAAGTCGGAGTGCATCTGCTTGAATGGAGAGGAACCAACAGTCTGCATACAAATAAGCTATTTCTATAAAATGAATGTACACATAGAACTCAAGTTCTGGAGCAAGACAAAAGTCCAGAAGTGTGTGAACAACCATAACTTTCTGCTAGTGAATGTGAAGAAGAAGAATTGATTGCAGACTGTTCCTTCCTCCACTGCATAACGGCCAATTTGGAAATTGATAATGATGACTTGTTCTGGTAAGGAATGTTATTATTTGAACTTGTTTAGAGC